TATTTAATAAAATCAATTTTATTGGTTCTTAGTTATTTTTTTTATGATAATGTCCCCCCCCCCCCATCTAGGTCTTGATTGATGGGCGCTCTTGCATAATATAGTAAGTTATGTCTGGCGGCGGCCCGATGATAGGTATTGAATATTGATGGTTAAAACCCGTATATTTTTGAACTAAATAATACCTAACTATTATGTTTGATTTTTTTATTATATTATTTTTAATTTGCACCCAATATTATTGGTTGATGTGAAGGGGAGCTTTTCGGTGTACAAAAACATAGATATTGGCCTTTAATAACCGGTACTCGTTTACATTTGAACATTTATCAAAATCTTTGATTGGATATAAATTGTAATGCCAGAGAAACAAATATTATAAGTATTTATGTATTATATTTATTATAATTTTCTATTTAAAATATATGTTTTATTTTTAAATGCATAAAAAATAATATTTTCAATTACCAGTCTCAACTAAAGCATACAAAAGTTTTTTTACTCATGTATAGATATTATGTTCACAAATAAAATGTATGCATATTTCGGCAGAGCTTACAGAACACACACTTCCGGGCCTTACTGAGTTAATAATGTAAGTAATAAGCTTCTTATTGGGACATTATTAGTTTCGTATTATTCGTTTGTTCAACTCCGAAACAGTACCTAGAACGACAATTTATAACAAGTCCATAAAACTGTTACCTACTGAAACCATTTATTTCCAGTCCGGACTTAAAAATGGGATTCTACACACTGTCGTCCTGTACAGTCTTAACGATACTGCACCGGTATAATATTAAGGGAGGTAACTACACGGAGGCGAAAACAGTAACTACCTACCGCACAACGAGTTGATTTATAAACATACACGATGTTACACGCGACACAATATTATTATTATTACTATCTAGTTTGTGCTCTATACTACAACTACATGCGTCGCTGAAAATATGCCAAATTATTTTACAGTATATGTGAAATGTATAAAATGGGTTAATTTTGGATATTGTAAAACAACACGGAACGTAAGTACACTGCACCTACAACTGTGACGTGTATGCCAAATATGCCAAATTACTTAACAGTATATGTGTAGTGTATAAAATGGGTTAATTTTGGATATTGGAAAACCACACGGAACTTAAGTACACTGTGCCTACAACTGTGACGTGTAAACTCGCAACATTTAATCTCATATTACATATTGTGATCAAATTATTGAACACTGCATCATCACGTATATTTTATTATTATTATTTTTATAATGTGTACAACTACTACAGTACAAAGGGTACACTATACAAACATAGGACATATCGTATGTGATGTATAGATGCGATGGTATAAAAAGGGTCCTAAACCTATAGAATTTTCATAAATAAAATTGTATACACGCGTCTTTGAAGGACACGGCTAAATAAAATTGTGTTTGGACTGTCGTCAAAAAACGTGGGCGTGCAAATAACACACACGTAGAAAAATATTACAACGCGCTGCAGCAGCTATATGCCACGGTGATATTATCATTATTATTATTATTATTATTATTATTATTATTATTATTATTATTACTATTATTTCTGAATGCAAAGTCCCCCTCTTATATTCAAAGTACCCTTCAGTACTCGTGTAATTTGTATAATTATTATTATCCACTAATGATGTTGGGGTTGCACTATTATTCGCGCGGTAGCCGCGGTCATTGTGTGCCATGCAACTGATCGAATGAAACGGGACGGACGGACGACAGTTGTTGTTGGTTAACAACATTTTATTATAAAAAACTAAATTAATAATTAAATGTCTTTTGACGACGGACAACTTGCTACTGGGTAGGTTAAACATGAAACGTCCCGAGGAAAATAATAAATTATGCACGTGCATTGTGTGCACCGTCGACACCTTACACCATGCAAATAGTACCAGCTATTCATTAAATAATATTGTAAAACGTAAATAATTTGTATTCGATTGAATTACAAGTAGGAAAAAAAGTGACGTTATAATAAAATAGTATAAAATCGTTGCTTTAATTTTTTTTCAACACGCTCGCAGGGATTGACGGTTTAATAATATTATATTATATTATATACTCTATGACTAAGGGTTTATGTAAGAATTAGAAAACCAAATAATATATTAGATTGTACACCATATTGTATAGATGTTGAGTATATTATTTTCTTTAAAATTAATCTTGCTTTTCATGTCACTCGCATCAATAAAAACAATGCTATTGTACATATAATAATATATCTCTCACTAATCCATTTGTCAAAACGTATAATATAATAAAGACATACTAGTTTTCAAATACTCAAATACACCGCCGCTCCGTACATAATAAATAAAAACTAATGCAGCCATAATAAATAAATAATATTAATGGTAGATTCGTTTTACATTGATTTATAGTATTTTTATAAGTGGATTTAAGGTTCGATGGTCTTAAAACCAGAAAATTGTGTTCAAAAAATAAAAATATTTATTTTGCTAATTATATTTACCTAATTATTTTTTGAGGACTTACACCCAGTCACAATAAAATTATTAATCTTAACATATAGACACATAGTTTATGTTAAATATTACAATATGTTTTATCCTTTATTCACATTTATTTCATGTTCTTTGTGTAATAAATTATGTACAACTAGTGAAACACATTTTGCATTACTTGAAAACCAACACAATATTAATCAATTATTAATAGAACACAAAACATGTTAAAACGTTTTGAGTAGGATTTAGTGTTCGTAAAATGCATAACATTATAAATTCCGCAATGTATCAATGTAAAATATTATGCATTACTGATTCAATTTTTTTTCGAATTAATTGATTCATGGGAAATTAGATTATATATTTCATATTATAGAAAATTACTAAATTACTCATTATTACATGGAAAACTATAAAAAAATTTAAAGCTTCACACATTTTATTTTATATTTTAGTCCATATAACTATTCTTAAGCGTATCAATGATAATATATTTTGTAGAATAATATTGATCTGAGCTAAGGTAATAGCTTTAATTTCAAATCCGTCAAGTATTCAAGTTTAATAATATTAATAATTATATACAATATAAACAAAAATATAATATGAATAGTATTTTTTTGTGTTTTACATCATCTAATTCAAATAATATTTATTAATGAAATTCAATAATTTACACTTCGAAACAAGGAATCCCTTGATTGCGCCTTTTATTTTAATCATACCTGCCTTAAATCTATGAATTAATTTTGGAATATAAATCTTGTCAAATGCCTATGTATGCACTAAAATATAGCCACTCATAAATCATACTAAACCAATTACTTAGTAGTTAGTACTTACCAAAAATTCAGTTTTAATGACATACTCTTTATCAAATATCAAAAATCTAATGGTTTCTACGAATTTAATTTTGGATTATTTTTAAAATACATGGAAAAATAAATAAATAATTTTTTATTCATTAATATAATTTTTTTAGGGGCAATATTATGTTAAAATTATCCAGATATGCCTGTTTTTTATCTAAGCTAAACATTAGATAAATCTTAACATAATTATCTAGAGACTTCAAAAGATAATTAATTTCAAAAAATCTTATCTAGATAATTCCCAACACTGCATATTATAAACAATAATATTCTGTAATTTACAAAAGCATAAAAAATATAAGTATAAGCCTTACAAATTTTTATTTTACGAGCTGAAAACTAAATCAATTTTCAGAAAATCAGAACTTTAAAACTCGTTAAAACATTAAATGGCATTATACAATATTAATTATATTTGTAAAAATTATCAACTTACTATAGTAATTAAATAAAATTAGTTATAATTACTTATTATTTTCCCTTGATACGCTACACAAGTATTAGAATTAATCGTAAACACTCTTTGTGTGTAGATATAATTACAAATTAATTAGTAAAGCGTGTTTTTGTTTGTTTTGTTCAAACTAAATAATAAAAAAAAAATCTTTTCGATAATAGCTGAGCTACTCGGGTCACCCTATCAGGGCCAGTTAAAATATAAAATATTCAATACATTTTAAGAAATCAAAATTGTATTATTTACTTTTCACTCTCAACTACCCACTATAGTATTATAGCTGTAGAAAATTGATTTTATGGCTCACTTTTCTGAAGCAGGTAGCTAGTTGTTAACTCACCTAATAGTTCATATTTTCTAGCCTTGTATTTCGATTCAATTTTATATTAAATACAAACGATACATGATATTGTTATGTAATTGGTATAAACCAGCTTCATGCCCCATCACAACGAGTCATTTATGCAACCACAAAAACTTTTAAAATGTGAGCTGTCGTGAAACGCCTTGTTAAAAATAAGGATGGTTTTTGTAAATGTAAAAATTGTTCACAAAAATTTGTGTTTGAAAAATCGGCCGTATATACTTGGAAAAGAAAAAAATGCTCTCTCTGTTTGAGGTTTTTGTTCGCAGCGTTTAAATTTTTTCAAACTCGTTGTGGTCGTTTTCCTGCTAGAAGCGATGTAAATTATTATGGCCGGACACGCATATCTTAGGATTCTTAAAACCTACCCCCTTAATAGTTTACGCCGACAGCCATCGACGTTCAAAAGGCATTCTTCGTGGGACGGAGAGGAGGGACGGCGGTTTATATAGTGTGGCGATCGTGTGAAAAAGTTTTTATACGACCGAATCGCTTGTGTCGGTAAACTCGTGGAATAGAGAAAAAAAACTCATTTGTAAGTTTTTATACGCATAAACTTTTATAAAGATTGTGTTTTTTCTTCCGATTTGTTATTCCGTGTGTATATAATATATTATCTATAGTTATATCGATCTGTCTCCCATAAGTGTGAGTGTGTGTCATTAACTACCATTTTCGCAAAAAAACATATCATGTGATTTATAATGATATCACAAATATTATACGGTTGTACGGAAGTGGTTTACGATAATAATATGGTGCTTGCGAGATTCGAACGACGTCGCAGCAGGAATTAAAAGCGATGCGGACCGACGACAAGTCTTTCGCAACCGACGTGGTGTCCACACAATCACATTTTAAGACATTTTTCTTAAATATGGACGCCGAGGCCGATTACGGAGACGCGTCAACGGCCGTACACGTTCGACTTTCCCGACGAGCCCGCACCCGAAAACCTGAACACCGGATGCGACCGGAAGTCGGCGTTTACAACAACAACAACTGACCTCTCTCAGAGTCCGGAGCAGAGCGGAGCGGACGTCATGACGGGGGCAGCGTGCTGCAGCACAGGTCTCCGCGGGTTCCGAGCAGTGGACGAAAAAAACACACCAAACTAAACACAAACGGACACGCACACTCGCGAAACGATTTCGGTTTTTCAGGACGAGGGCGAACGAATATATAAAAAAAAAAAAAACACCAAAATTAACACACCGGACGAAAACGAGCTGCAAACGTTTTACGCGAACGACGCGAATACGACGACGACGACGACGATAGGACAATATTATAATATTATTATAATAATATAATATCGTGGGGCACGAGACGACGATCGTCGGCGGCGGACGAAAAACGCGAACGGACAGACGTGCGAGACCGGCTCTCGCGTTCGACGGCGGGGTAGGAAATGATTCGGCGGCGAGCTTTTTTTCCCGCCCGGCCCGCACCGCCCCGGTGGTGGAATCGCGCCGAGCGAGTTTCGCGCAACCAGTGGCGCAGCGTAGCGGACTTTTCCGTAACCGCGACGACCGCGCGCGACCATGGTATCCGACGACGGCGGCGGTGTATCTCCCGAGCCTCTATTGGCCCGGTAAATTATAATATTATTATTACGATTTATCGTCATTATCATTATTATTATTGTTGTTGTTTTGTTGATGTTGTTGTTATTGTTGTTGCTGTTATTGTTATTGTCGTATCCGTATATCGATTCCGTATAATCCCCCTCCTGTGAAGTCTTCGGCGACGTTATGAGATTAAAAATATTAAAGAGATCACCGTCGTCGCGCGTGACGGACCGTTTTCATTTTTCATCCATTGGCATTAGGTACAGTACAATGTATATAAAAGGTTATCTTTTTCTTTTATTTTCACGTTTTTTGTTTGCACAGATTTACATCTGGAGAAGAGGAACTAAGGTCTCGAGATGAGCAGCTATAAACGTTTGTAGCACTACTCTTCCGATGGTCCGAAATTCAAATGCTTCTAAATAATAAAATATCGGTTTATTAATATCCGATGTTCATGTACATTTTCAGTTCAGGATAATATTCCGTTTTTTACCATTGAAAAATAATTCAAAACACTTTAACAAAAAATAAACGAAAAAAGCACCTTAAAACTATAATATGTAAAAAAAAAATTCGTACAAGATATACTGTCTTGTGTATAGAAGTTTCTTTATGTAGGTATTTTCTATTTTTTTTTTATAAAAACATCCTTTTCACAATTCGTTGAAATGCAACATGCATTTTATATGTATATAATGCAATATGCAATTTCGAATAGTTTTTTTGATCTAGTTGATTTAATGATAGTATACAAAATGTGTTGTGAAACAATATTTTATGTTAAATAAAATATACATTATATTTTTTCTCAACATTTTCTAATGATACAAAATACATAATATTAATATATTATATTGAATTAATAAGCAATAGCCATTTAAGAACAATACATCACGCGATGGAAATATCTAATGTTTCTCTAACTGTACAAAAACACGAAATATATATTCAATACGTCCTACCTCCTAATAAGAGTGTACTTTTATAATTATTTTTATATAGGAAAGCTTCTCATTCGTGGCAATAAGCTCATATTATGCACAGACTTCAGAAAAATATATTAATAAAATATTATTTTTAAACCTTTCTTTAATCGTCTATTGAAACATTTATTCTGTTGTTTTTAAGACAACAACAAAAACTAATGCACACTTTTTATAATATGTGAAAAATATTTATATCTATATAAATTGATGTGTTGTACTTAAAATGCAATTACCATAAAGGATAAACCAACTAAATGTTTTCTCAAAATCTGTTACGATTTATTACACGCATGTGTAATATTATGTTTATTCGCAGTTTACTCACTACTTATTATTATATTATCTGAGAGGAAAAGCATAATCTTTCGATCTTAAACGTAATCTTAATTCCTCTTTGTTCCGGTCCGTTAGATATTATATCTGATAGAATCGCATGGTTTTTAAAAAAAGTTAAATAATAATATAAAATATAAAATATCTTAGTCATACGCTTTTATAATATTTCAATTATTATTATTATAAAAACTAACAGTTAAATCATTATCGTTCCGGAATGAATATATTAATGGATAAAGAAACCTAAACCAAATTCGTTTGAATGATATGTATTATTAAATAGGTATGAAAAAGAATTGATTAAATGAATATTCATTAAACGCATAGTTTTGTAAGATCGTACAAAAATGATTTATATGGTGCTGAAATATAATATGTTCAATTGAATTATTCTTATTACCATTCAAAAATAACATTAGTGTACTATCGAGTTTTAACTTGAGACTAATCGCATTACGAAAAATTATAAAAACAAGAAAGACGAAATCGACAGACATTTGCATTATTAAACATTGGCCAATAGGTAAGAAATACTTTGTCTAAAGTTGTAATCTTGCAATTAAAGTAAAATGTATTTAAACAATAGTTTAATTTCTCTACGTTTTTAAATAAATTAGTTATACAATTTGAAATTAAATTTGTTGGTAGTTAAAGCATTTAAATTTTTTTACGAAAGACAATTTGTCGTAATAAATATTATTATATTATGTGATATATAATTGTACTGTTTTCATTATTTCCTACCAATAACAACACTACGTCTTCCATATTATTGTCATAAGATCACTTCTGCTAAATCCGTGTCTGATATTATGGCCGCGAAAACCAACAAAAAAAACTCTCTACGACTAAAACGAAAAACGCCTTATTCTCTTCCTGTGATTTGTCTCCGAATGGTATACAATATACATATATATGCACAGTAATAAAACTAATGTCAAACCATTTTGTCACTCAGATAAATGTTTCCAGTTTGTAATTTGCCACCTTAACTCTTTTTATCGGGAGCACTAGAAATTTATGTACTGTAAAACCCGTATCAAACAACTTCGATCGTTACATATTCTGCACGAGATAGTAGTGCCCCCTATTTATTGGTTTTGTTTTATACCGACCCATTTGATATTGTGTTATTGTGTTGGAAAAGCTTGCGAGATTGACAGGGGAATAATCGAGACAGATTTTAATAAGCCTTCGAATGCAAACCAGAAGCTGAAAAAAAAGTGAAAAAAAAAAACAAATTCGTAGAAACCATTTTGTCCCAAACACACTGACCCTGCAGCATACATATAATATGTTATTAGTTGAGAATATTTTAATTTCAAACGTTCAGCGAGAATTCAGCTGGAACAATACGAAAAAAAAATGCACTGGTATTTTTAAAATGTACAATCAACCGTTTCCTAGACGTTTTATTATATCCTGCTGTACCAGATTAGATTACAAAATATTACCAGTTGGATTGATTTTATTCCAACCTCAACTGATTTGACATTATTGTTTTTATCTTGTCCTCGGACTCCAATATAGCTGTTGTTGATATTTTTCAACGATGCTTTTTTAGTCTTCGGGAAGTTTAAGCGTTATTTTCAACTTAAACCTACGGTCTATATTATAAGGTAAATTATAAGCACTAAACACAAATCGAATGTTGGAAAAGTCATTTTTGTGATTTCCCAGTACGGCGAACCGAGTGTCACTACTCAGAGCTGGTTTTTTAATTTAATGATTTCGTAATGCTTCAAATTTTGAAAATAATCGTATAACAGTAGGTATTTATAATAGTTCGTCGAAGTAAACTAAGCGAAACAAACGCCCACATGATATAATCTCTGTATCTTTTTCGCTTTTGTGAAATGTTTTTATAGTTTTCGAAAACCTTGACTTGACTTAATTAGTCACCTCGTTTGTAACATCTGCCTAACAATTTTCTTCATCGTCTATTTCAAATTTATTAAACAAAATTATCCACGTGAATGGATACAAGTTGTTTGATCATTCGACCGTGTTATTAAGCGTTGCCACATTTTTTCTGTAAAGTAGCGTTCCAATTATTCAATTCCTCTGATATCCCTCATTATTTTTTTTTACTTTTTTCATTCCTTAAACAGTGCGAAATTTTCCAGATAAATTGAATCTTAGATTTTATATGATGCTTTTTTTTTTTTATTCATAACAATAGTAATAATTATAAATTAAATGAATGCATTCTCACAAACAAAGATAATACATTTTTTTTTTTTTTTTTTTTTTCATTGATCATTAAGCCCGGCAACTATGGCCATTAGCTGTTTTTGTTTGTTTGTTTAGTTTGTAGGGGAGGGAACTGTTGGTTTGTAAACACGTGTGTTTGTGGTGGCAGAATTTTTATTGGGGCACCCGTAGGTTTCTGCCATGCCCCGAAGTGGGGGGATGACGGCACTTGTTTTCCGGACACCGTGACTTGCCCGGAAAAAAATGCCGCCCGGTGGTCGAGAATCGAACCCGCGACTGCCAGCGCCGCGGCCGACGCGTTAGACCGCTCGGCCACCTCGTCCCCCCAATACATTTTTATTGTTAATAATCGACATTCATTATTATGAATGCGTGTTCCTATTACTCACCCACGCCGATAACGATAAACATATTTTATTATGTAATACTTCTTTATAATCACTGTACATTTATTTATCTTTAATATGTTAGTATTTAGTATACTTACTAAAGAATATCATTGAAAACAATACATTTTAAATTGTATATTATAATAACTACAATATTTTCTATTATTAGATATTTGTTAAAATATGCAAATAACAATATATATCATACACATTAAGTTAGGAACCGTTTTGATGATGTTTCGGAATGATTCATCCAAAGTGATCCACGTAAACGTGGCTATAATAACGTTCTTGAAAATATTTTTTCTTAGATTATTCAATATTTGCTGATAAAGCAGCTTTTTTGAAAAAATATTATACTTTTTACTATGTTACAAATCAGGTTATTTTGATGTATAGAAATCAAAAATCTTAGAAAAATAGTTTGTTTTAGAATATTTTCAAAGAAGTAAAAATAATTTTAATAATATTTTTAAAACATTAATTATGTTCGTGGTTTTAAGTATT